TTGCATGTGACCATCTTAATACAGCCTAGGGGTTGATGACAGAGTCAGAAAAGCAGAGGAGGGAGAGGGAGTGAAAAAAATGGTTTCCTCGCCTTGTCTTTCATGATGCCCTTTTAAAGGTTAAAAAAGGGAAATATCAGGAGAAAACGAAACAAGGAAGAAGAGGAAAAGGATATTACAATAAGTAAAGGGTATAAAGAAATATTTGTTATAGGTAAGAAATGTTTCGATCTCTTTGCTTGTTATACTGCAGTGTGCTTCACATGTATTGCTACATATCATCAAACGAAGATGATGACAGCTCTGGGTGATATGCAAATATCTGGAAAACTGCAGTACTTAAAAAAACCGTTAATTCGTAAACTAATTCCCCATCTGTATAACTAATAATTTTTCGAGGTGTTATAATAATTTTACTAACTTTCTAATTCTCATTTCCCACCTTCCTTTTTGATTCTTCTGATTTCATCCCTTGTTAATATACCTTTCTATTAATCATGCTACAACGGAGTGGTCCGTTTTCTGGTGATCCAGGCCTTGGTTTCGCCTTTTTCTATGGAACAGTGAGGTAGTGCCGCCATAATCAAGGCTATCAGAAAAAGACAAAGTAAGAATGCAAACAGACGCTCAGTAATACCAAGATCGTTTGGGCCATTAGTGTAGCTATTCCGTGTTAGTGATTTTACTGGGATGTTCCTGCACACACTGCGCGCAGCTATGCTAAACCTATGATCCTGAGCTGTATACCTGGTACCCATCACCTATTCGATGTATGTGTGCCATCTTTTGTGGGTCGTCCGAGTGCTCGTTTACATAACTGCACTACATGGGCATTTCTGGTGCTGTATTTTTTTATGTGGAAAAAGCTATGCATCATACGAATTTTGACTTTTCCCTGCAACAATTAATGACTGAAAAACCACCGATTTTTCACAAAATCTGCGCATTTTCCAAGAGTTTATACGCAACAGAGTTAATACTTTTCCAAATAACCTAGAATAAGTAGTATATGGACAAACTTTAGCACAAATCGCTTCATCGACGCGAATGCGCTCCAACTCCCATATTTTATTGAACAAAAACTGGGCATTTTCTCGTACTCTCGCCGACAGCTCTTCCTCAATGGGCCCACTGAAAAGGCAACATATACAAGAGGATTTCCCTCTAGTTCAGGTGATACTCAAAACTGTGCTTTCTTTCTATTTGTCTAACCTAAATGTTTTTTCCTCCATGCTATTCCAGCGCAAAATCTGATGCCTTTCCGAACCATACATTCGATTTCAAAGCAATTTTTGCATTTTCGATTTAACTTTAGCACTCCTTTCACAAGATTTTATTACAAATTAGCTAAATTCAGCACCTTATAGTCCACTTCCTCGCCTCTGCTCCCAAACAGATAAATACAGCTAAATCTGACTGAATCAACAGAGCGCTTCCCTCCTCCCTGAAGCACACCATATGAGTGAATCGAATGGGAAAATTTCAGCAAGTAAACTGAAAATTATGCAAAACTAACGGCGTATCAAAACCCTCAACTAGTAGTTGCTCTAAGTGTCTTTGTAAGCCGCTGAGGGTTATGATGCACAAAATTACATCCAACCCGCTATGCCCTCATACACTAATAGCACCCAATTTATATTTCAAAAATACGTAACGACTTAACTATCAAAGCCGTAGGACTGGGTAAAAAACCATATGGGTCATAAAAATCTTACTGAAAATTCGCCAAAATGGATAAAATCAAAAATAAAGGCCTCAAAGTTCGGCTTTTCTACAAACCATCACTCGAGCATATGCAAACGCACACACATATACATACATATACATGCATACAAATAATACACATGTGAACATGCACAAATACACATACATAAATACTTACATACATACATACATACATACATACATACATACATACATACATACATTCATACATACATACACACACACATACATACATACATACATACATACATACATACATTCATACATACATACTTGCATACATTACCTATATACATGCATACATACATTATACATACATACATACATACATACATACATACATACATACATACATACATACATACATATACCTACATACATATATACATACATACATACGTACATACATGCATACATACATACATACACACATATGTACATACATACACACATAAATATACACACATGAATCTACCTTCACAATCTATGCATTTTGTAAAGTGATAATGCAGAAAATACTACTTACCCATCTTTAGCCTTGAATGTTACTGGATCGTTATCGATGATGAGCAAATTCCCGGCATCCACGTACGGCTCGACAACCTTATTCACCTCCGTTGGCAAATAAACAAATCCATTTCCCGCCATCCTGAAAACTCATTATATACAAAACTCAGCCTCAATAAGACCCAACCTAAACCAAACGCAATCGACAGGAACCATTCCTACATAAATTCTAATTCATATGAAAGATATAAAAAGTGAATGAAACAAAAAATTTTCAAAGACACTTCAGTGATCTGAGATGTTTTATTTTTTGAAGGCTTTGGCCAGCAAACAGCGCGTGGAGACCACGGAAAAACACACAAGTTCACGTTAAAATCAGGAAACTTTTTTTAACAACAAAAGTATGACTACAAACAGCCACATAAATAGGAAGGGTGAAAAGACAAAAGCTTATGTTACAATCATGAAACTCTTTACAACAGAAAAAACATAGAGCTGTACTAATCAGAACAAACAGCTTGAATGACGGATTAGAGGTATTTTTTAGAAAATTTCAAGAACATAGCATCAAAATGAAAAAAGAAAAAACATAGCCACAAATAGCTGTACTAATCAGAACAAACAGCTTGAGTGATGGATTAGAGATATATTTTTAGAAAAAAGCATCAAACTGAAATTAAACTGCTAAACGGGAAGTGTTTCGGTCCTTGAAGTCGCATACAATCCTGTTGAGCATCACAATTGGATCTCATCAATACGATGGTTGTGGCCTCAATTTATTTTCAAAATTTATTTTCAAACTTAAACATCTAAGTAACGTATTTTTGTAATAAAAAATAAAAAGAAGTAAAATTAAATGTAGTGAGGGAAACTACAGAAAGTTAGGGAAGAAAAAAATATTCTGAGTAACGTATGAAGGAACAAAATGGGCCAAGGGATAAAAAGTTAGTAAGAAACAATAATTACTAAGAAAACACTAAAATACTGGAGAAAGAAAAACTACGCTAAGACAGACAATAGCGTCCATCCAAACCATTTTTTTCACATTTTTATGTCATTGTTAACCAAAACTAATTAAATCGCACAGTATAAAACACGGAACATGAACACTTTACTTCCAACGTTAGAATGATATTGAAAATGTTTTGGATGGGCACTTGGCCTTTTTTGCGTAAAATGAAACCATAAATATGTGTCAGTATATGTAAATTTATGTAAAGAGTACTTTGCCCATGATGTTCAGAAAAAGAGATCGCAGACAACTCCGCAACTTTTTCATGAAACACATTCAAACACAGCCTAGTACTAATTCATTTCTAGCTCCCAGTCTGTTTCCAAAATTTAACGTATTGCCAAAATATGCAAAATTTAGTACTTAATATGACAGGAACAAAAAACAGCAAAACGAGAAAAAAAACAACTTCGACAGCAAAAAGACAAGTTGATAAAGAGTTAAACAAAAAAAACTTATGCTAGCGAAAAGGTAAAGTACATAAAAACAAAATTATGAATTTGCTTAAAAATCGACAATCTTCAAAAAACTAAAAACAATGTTATGACAAAAGATGAACGAATCAATTAAACTG